TCAGTGTACACTGGTGTTCCCTCTCCTAAGCTTTCAATGAACAAATTGATAATATTGTGGAGCCTTTGGTCCTCTCTGAGCTTGGTTGTTTCCTTGCAGACACTTCATTCCCCAACTAGGTAGCATCATCAGAGCTAGAAGGGTGGGGGGGTTGCTCTCTGCTTATATAATGTAGCTTGCCCTACAGGCAAGTCTTGTGGAACGAGTCCAATTATATAGTTGGGTCATGAAACATCTGCAGGCAAACAACCAAGCTCAGAGAACACCAAGGACTCCACAGTTCAACTTTAAGGTACATATTTACCCTTCTACTGACAGTTTTGTTCTTGCTGAAGTCTATACCAATTGGTTTCAAACAACGTAGTGCAGAAAACCATGTGGAAAACCAGGGATCTTGATTTGATGGAGCTTTGCTTCAAGGACTGAAATGAATTCAGAATGACGGAGTTGGAAGGGACCTTGGAGGTCTTCTAGGCCAACCTCCTGCTCAAGCAGAAGACCCTATACCATCCCAGTAAAATGGTTGTCCGGTCAATTCTTGAAAACCTCCAGTGATGGAGCACCCACAACTTCTGAAGGCAACTCGTTCCACTGATTGCTCTAATGGGAGGGCAAATGATGTCCCCTGCATGATGTCATCTTACAAATGTGCTTGGGAGGCACAATGCCCTCAACAAACACATCCTCACTGCCAGTGCTCGTGGCCATAGACCTATGGCAACCCAAACATCCCTCTGATGCTCTATCCTAAGAATGGCAATATCGGAGCATAACCCAATAAGCACAACATCATTCCAACTTTAGCCAACATCATTGGCCAATTATATGAAAGCATAAGGAGGCAAGATGCTCCCAGCTCATGTCTAGTCTCTAGTAGATATTCAGATTATAGCCGGTTCTTCCATGCAACGTGAGGTCTTTATTACATGAGGACAATAGGCTTGGAGGCCACACAGTACATCAAAAAGAGCACTCTCCACCAACATCTTCCTGAGGTCCTTAATTGTTGACTCAACCTATCCAACAGCAGGGTTTGTCCAGTCCTTCTCAGACAGAAATACTACCTCTTGAAGTCCTAGCCTAAACCTATCACTCTCCCTGTAGATAAACCGTCCTCTGTCGATACTCATCTGGACTGAATATCTCAAAGTCTTCCTTTGGAAGAAGAAGAGCAGAAAAAAAAATGGAATTAAAGATTGGCCAATCTTGACTCCACACCTCATTGCAAAGCCCATGGCTAAGAAGGACGCATGTTCTACCAGCAATTGGAAAAGAAGGTCGGTATATTCTGCTCATCAAAAATTCACCCCAGAGAATAAGCCTCCAGCAAGGACTGTACTGACCCAGCGCTCTTGTCCATTCTGCAAAGTTACAGGAAGAATTAAAACCCAAATTGTCTGGAAGGCAAACCAGGAAAGGCCCCCACTGATCAGCACAGAGTCCACCTTGAAAAGGCCGCCTAAGCATTACATGCGCGACTGTGAGCTGCACGGAAAAAGCAAGCAAACAAACGAATGAAAACAAAATCAATCTAACACAACAGGCTCCCCTTCTGAAGGGAGAGCAAACAGGCTACCCTTGTACAAAGTCTCCTTTGAGTTAGTCAAGGGTCTGGTCATGCATTTTTCTTGGCAGAAAAAGCAATTTACCACTGATTTCTTTAGTGGTAAAACCTGGGACTTACAGGGGTCTCCTGTCCCAAGATTTAGCCAGCTCTGACCTTGATTCAAGGTCTGATTCAAGGCCTTGAAGATGAAGTGTGGAACTGTCTTTAGGACAGAGGCCCTGCTGGGCCTGTGAATGACCTGCCAAGGCCACCAGCCTGCCAAGGGGACAGGCCCCCAAACCAACAAATGCAAGCAGATTTTCCTTGCCATGAATTAAACGGCCTGCCTAGATCCATAACAATTGTTCCCTTCAGCCAGGACAGAAAAATGACATTTTTTTTCCATCCCCCCCCCCCCCGCAGGAGTTTGGAGGCCACAAAAGTGAGATTTTTCAGGGTTGAGTTCTCCCCCTCTCCCCCCTGCAGAGTTGCACGCTGCTGCCCTCACACTTGCGATAAAGGAAAGGAAAAGAAGCTGGTCAGGGAAAGCATTTGCCTGCTTGCCGTACCACCTTGTGCAAGTCCACGGAAACGAAGAGGAAAAAGAAAAAAAGAGAAAAAAAAGAAATAGGCACACCGCAAAATCTCCTGACGGATTCAGCCTTTAGGCAGGCCGAATGAAAGCACACACCCCCCCCCCCAAAAAAGCAAAGCCTGCTGAAATCAAGAGTTTAAACTTTCGAAGTCTCCTTGTAATTCTTCTTTTTTAAATAATAATAATAACAACAACAAGCATAACAACTGTGCCATCTTTGTTTCGATGAAATGGCTCTGCTTTCAGCAGCGCAAGCAACAACTTGCTAGATTCTTGGCGCAGGATAGGAGATGGATAGAAACTTCCCTTCATTTTTTTAAAAAAGAAAAAGAAAAAGAGAGAGAAGGGGGGGGAGAAAATGGAAAGAAACCTCAGTTATTTCTTTCCTGCTTTCACAAATAATAATAATAATAATAATAATAATAATAATAATAATAATAATAATAATAATAATAATAGTAAACAAAGCCATCTTCTCCAATGCTGCAGATCCTCACTTTGAGTCAATTCTGGCAAAGTCTACAGAGATCAAATTTAATAACAGGATGGTTCTGTTGCACGGATGGTAATGTTAGCAAATTGCCCATTTGCCCTTTGAAGCATTCGTAATGATTCAGAACATAACCTTGGGCTATTAAAAAGCAATCGCAAGATGGGCAGGCTGATTGCTTGAGAGCTGGCTGGATCCAAGTGGAAAGGAAGAAGTTTATTTTCCCTTGTGTTTTGCAACAAACAACAAAACAATGTCTTGTTTTGACGGGACTTTGTTCATAAACAGAGTTTAGAATAGCCACACGCACAAAAAAATGCTTTTTAAAACAGCAAGAGAGCGGCAATCTGATGGAGAGGTTTCTGGCTGGAGATATAATGTGGGGAGGGATTTCTGGCACCCACCAAATTGGAAAAGTCATCTTCTGCATTTTAAAGGGCCTGGCGAGGGAAGGCACCCACTGAAAATATGGGGACGGAGTGAATGACACCGCCTCTTTTCTGAACAAGATCTGAAAATCACCATCCATTTTGGAAAGAAGAAGGTCTAAGTTCCCAAATAAAGGCCCCCTCCTATATTAAAATAGGCACACAGCCCATCAAATAAAGTCACCTCTCCTGGGGAGGCGGTGCTGAATGACTTCTTCTCCCCAAAACTGCAGGGCCAAAATGAATTTAACACTCATCTACCTTGCAGAGATGTAGATAAGATTTCTCATAGCAATTTCAACAGAGCAAGTCAATGTCAACAGGGTGTCAGTTTCAACAGGGCAAGTCAATTTCAACAGGGCAAGTCAATTTCAACAGGGCAGATCAATGTCAACAGGGCAAGCCAATGTCAACAGGACAAGTCAATGTCAACAGGGTAGATCAATGTCAACAGGGCAAGTCAATTTCAATAGGACAAGTCAATGTCAACAGGGCAAGTCAATTTCAACAGGGCAAGTCAATTTCAACAGGGCAAGTCCATTTCAATACAGCAAGTCGATGCAATAGGGCAGGTCAATTTCAACAAAGCAAGCCAATTTCAACAGGGAAAGTCGATTTCAATAGGGCACATCAATTTCAATGCAATGTTTGTTGGATCAAGGCACTTCACATCTCCACTTGGCATTCATCAAACAACCAAATAGTGCAATTCTACTCATGTTTACTGAGAAACAGGACCCACTGAACTGGAAAGTAGAATAATAACAGAATAACAGAGTTGGAAGGGACGTTGGAGGTCTTCTAGTCCAACCCCCTGCTCAAGCAGGAGACCCTATACCATTTCAGACAAATGGTTGTCCAATCTCTTCTTGAAAACCTCCACTGTGGGAGCACCCACAACTTCTGGAGGCAAACTTTAGCACCCGTGGGCTAACAATCCCTCCAGAAAAACAAGAAAGGTCCAGGTGTGTCCCAATGCAAAGTGAAAAAGCTTTTGACTTTTCTTTTTAATCCATAATACTTGCCAGGAAATCTCAAGCCTTCATTTCAATTTTCTCTGAAAACTCTGCCTCAATCCGTATCTGTAAAATGGGAGCAGACAAGGCCTCCCCTGCTGGACTATTATACTCCCGGACTCAGTGAAGGAAATCAGATGTATATTTTAAAGCCATAAGAGAATGATGGAATAGATGAACATCTAAGTGGCCTACAATAAACACCTTGTGAAAAGGCCCAGCATGCGCCTAGAGAACAAGGCAACACAATTCGCAAAATAAAGCTTGTTCCATGTGGGGCCACTACAAACCAGAACCATTTGGAGCCATCATTTTGGATGTCAAATGCAATCATGGCTATTCATAACCCAGCTGCCACAGAACGGTGGAGCTTCCACAGCCAGGGGCAGTGTATCCCTGAATTCTCAACTGCTAGCAAAGGGGACAGGTGGCAGGCAATGGAACAGAGAGGAAAGCTAGCATTTTTCACAAATTAAAAACCTGCCCAAAAAAAACCCCGGGCAAAAGTGCAAGAAGTCACTTCACTTCAGATCCGTTGGGCAACTGTGTGGTTTTAACAAGCACCTTCTAAAGAAGAATCAAAGGAACATCAGACACAACTGGGCAGCCTTGGGGGGGGGGGAACCCTTCTTGTGGCTTGGGAAATGGGGAGGGTGGGACAAACTCAGCCTCTCCCCCTCCTCCTAAACCTCTTTCTCCCCCTTCCCCAAAGGAGGAATTAATGGAACACCCCCCCCCCTCAATCCATTGTGGACTCTCTCCCTGCCCCTCCCCAAGGGCAGGCCTGGATTTTTGCATTTCTAAAACTGGCCCTTTGCAGGCCATTTGCCAAGATGGGCCCACCCCCCTTGGTAACCACCACCCCCCCATCAGACATTCAGTGTTGTGGTTGGGATAGAGGAAGAAATGCAAGGGAATAATTTACCTACGGAATCAATTTCCAGGAGACGCTGCAAATCCCGAATGCTATGAATCTCGCTGTGAGCCAGCCTTTCGATCAGCTCCTGAGGAATCTCTGCTTCCTTTGGAAAAAGAGGGGAGAGAGGGCAGGGTGCCCCAGTTAGTCACTTTCCCTCCAGATCGCCTCTGGAATAGATCCTGGTCTCTAGTCAGTCAGATCACCAGCTCTCTACTGAGTCTTTCTCCCCAAATCGCTTCTGGAGCAGTTCCCAAATCAATCAGATCACCAGATCTCTACTGAATCTTTCTCCCTGAATCATCTCTGGAGCAGATCCCTAGCCAATCAGATCACCAACTCTCTACTGAGTCTTTCTCCCCAAATTGCTTCTGGAGCAGATCCCTAGTCAATCAGATCACCAGATCTCTACTGAGTCTTTCTTCACATCACCTCTGGAGCAGATCTTGAACTCTAAGGTAGCCAGTCAGATTTCTAGATCTCTAGTCAGCCTTTTCTCCAAATCACCTCTGGAGTAGATCTGGACCAGATCTTGATCCACTCTGAAGTGGGGTCTTGGATCTGCTCCCAGCTTCTGGGTGCTTAGGAACAATGGAGAAAGGAAGGAGGGTGTTTTATTGTTTAAAAAATTCTCCTTTTCCACAGTCTGTACCCAATAACCTTGCAACCCACAATTAACATTTTTAGTTCCTCCTGCCCACACTATGATATGGGAAGTGTGAAAAATTCTGTCCTTTTCATTTTTATTTCTCCCTTTATTGGGGGGGGTCTTGGAAGGAGGGATTAACATTCCTTCAGTGGCTCAGAACTTTGGGGAAAGCTTGAGTTGTTTTTTTTTTTAATGGAGCAGGCAGTGCTTTAAGACCATCCCATAATATTGCGGGGGGGGGGCTGTTTTGGGACGCTGTCCCTTTACAATTACAAGACCATCCCATTTACTAAGAGAGGGCTGAGGTTTAAGTATCTGAAATCAGCCTTCCTAGAACTATGTGTGTGATAGAGAGGGGGGGGAAGAGAGAGAGAGAGGAAAAAAGAGAGAAGGAGAGAGGAGGGGAAAGAGAAGGAGAGAGAGAGATCAAGTTGACATGTGCCACAGCACAATACTTAGCACCATTCCACAGGTTGTTTCGTCCTCTCAACCCCTCCAAAAAAAAAAAAGTGGCAACAATCTCTTAAAAAAAATAAAATCCCTGGACTTTATGGAGCTTGTTCTACATGAATGGGATAAAACAACCGACAATTTTCCCCCCTTTGTTTCATTGTGTGTGTGTTTTTTTTTTAATTGCCTAGCATAAGGAGAGCTTTGACCCAAGGCAACTTTTTTTTTTCAATAGCAGGAAACTTGCAAGAAAATAAAAGTTTCAGCCTCCATTGGCGTTGATTTCACCCTTTCTCCCAAATTTCCCTGAGTGGGGAGGTGGCTGGCCATGGTTCTAGATAAGGACCCGAATCCTACAGGTTGAAAAAAATCAGCAAAAAAAAAGCACCCTGTTTTTCTTTTTCCCAGCACCCTTTTTAAGAGCCTGCTTGAAAATATATTCCTTTTTGGCCTTCGAATTCCCACGCTCCACAGTGGCTACTAGAAACAATTCCACAATTTGGGGGGTGAGGCAAAGAGGAAGAGGAGGGGGGAAAAAATCCACTGTGGGCTCCGTTCGACGTTCCTATTTTCCCAGGCTCCAAAAAAGCAGAGCTTTTACACAACAACGCCTAGGGCTACGTTCACAAGTTCCCAGCCAACCACAGCTTCCTAAAACTAACCCAGTTTCTACAAGCTAACCAGATAGGCGAGTCCAGTCCCTGCATTGCCCCCCAACCCCCAACCCCTCTCCCAGCTCCTGAAAAACTAACTACGATTGTCCCTCGCCCCACTCCTGCAGGACAAGCCGGAATCTCTACGGTTGGAAAGCCCACCTGGGTTAAGCCAGTTGTCTGAACGCAAGTCCCTGGAGGGGAAAAACGAGCCCATTTCAAAAGGCAAAGTCCTAACTTCCAAGACAAACGTGCCAAGTCAATCTGGGAAACACAGTTGGTTTTTTTTCTCTCTCTCTCTCTCCCTTTCTCCCTGTCGATAACCTTATAAAGTGAATTTTCAGAGCGGCGGGAGGTTAACACGCGGTTGCATCTCGGAAGGGCAACGTTAATGGAATTGCTTTCCTTCTCCTATGTTAGCCATTTCGGGGTCGTTTCCCCACCAGCAGGAAGCTGGCTAGTCAAGACCCCCACTTGTTTCTAGGCTTCCCTCCCTTACCCCTCTCCAGCCAGGCCGGCGGTCAACCGCCGAGGCCAACGTTGCGTTGGCAATTTTTTTTTTCAAAAATAATAAAGAAATAAAAAATACCACGCCAGAGGCTGGCTCGCCTCGCGCGTTTTGAGCGCCCTTCGTGGCACGTCTGCATGCGCGCCAGAGCCGACGCCAGGCAGGGCGGACGGAGGGGCTGGAATCCAGGCGACCTAGCAGCTCCTCCGTCTTGTTGGGGACGAGGAAGAGGAAGAGAGACACGCGCTGTTTGGAAGGATGGCAGTTGAGAGCCGCGCGTGGAACGGCCGCCTTCCCACGCCACCCCTTCGCTCTTGGGAGTAATTTGGGGAAGGGAAGCCCCTTCTTCTCCACCTGGAGGGTCCAAGGTGAAAAGCCCAAACCCATGCACGGGGGGTGGGGGGGGTTGAGGTGGAAGGGAGAGGCAGGACGAGGGAGGGAGAGGGGGAAAGGGAAGAAGGAAGAATACCACCGGTGCAAAAAAAAAAAAAAAAAAAGGTTTTGGAATCAGTTGGAGATTTTAAAAGGGGAGGGGGGTCTTCTGCCTTTCCTTCCTCCTCTCTCCCTCTCTCCCTCTCCTTCCTTCCTTCCTTCCTTCCTTCCTTCCTTCCTTCCTTCCCCAGGCGTGCACCTACCTCTGCAAACACGAGGGCCAGGTAGCAAAAGCCTATAACCCAGAATGCTGCGCCGATCCTCATTGCGTGCTCATCACTGTGGTCGGCCCCACGACTCAACGGTGCAGCGCAGGAGGCGCACCACCCCGCCTCCTTGGGTTGGGAAAATAACAACCATCCCTCGGGGGGGGGGACGAGGGAGCCACCACCGGCGCTGGGGGGTGGGGTGGGGTGGGGGGCAGTTGTCCTCCTGGCTCGGGCTCCGGGCGGGGGGGGCGCGCGGGCGGAGGTCCCCTCAATTCCCGGTCGCCTCTAAAGGTCTCTCGGCGCTTGGCTCCGGGGGGTCTCCTGGCAGAGGCGAGGGGGGAGTTGTCTGCTGCTTCCTTGGCGCCCTCCCGGCTTCCGAGGGGAGGAAAGGGGCAGCGGGGCGGCGAAGGGAGGGAAGCCGCTTCGGACTCCTTCCTTCCTCCCTTGCCAAGGTGCGACCACCGCCTCCGCCGCCTCTTCTGCTGCTGCTGCTGCTGCTGCTGCTTCGGGCTCCTGGACAAGCAGAGAAGCGCGTTCCAGCTTCCTTCTACATCTTGGCCCGGATCGCGACGAAGTGAAAGGCGAGCAGCGAGGCGGGAGCCGGCCCGGAGTCCATCACCTGTCTGGGAGCCGCTCGCCCCTTGGCAGGCAGGCGGAGAGTTCCCGGTCCCTCCCCTCCCCGCGTCCCCCAGCCCCTCCCTCTGCCCACCCCTTCCAAATACCCACCCACCCCGGAGCAGCAGGCGGCAAAGCGCAGAGGCAGCCAAGGGGAAGAGAAGAAGCTAGTTGGTTCCTTCCTCCCCCCCTCTCCAAAACACACACACACACATACATACAGGCATACACACCAAAAAAAAGGAGGGGTGGGGGAAGGAAGGAAGGAAGGAAGGAAGAAGGGAGGAAAGCAAGCAAGCGAGAGAAAACAAAACAGAACCCAAGAGGGCGCCCTGCAGCTTTCCCTTCCTCTCCCCCCCCCCCCCGGCTAAGCGAGGGAATCTTTCCGGGAAGGACCGTCAGGTGATCCGAGAGCCTTCTTTCCTCCTCCTCCTCCTCCTCCTCCTCCTCCTCCTCCTCCTCCTCGCTTCCCCGGGAGGAGTGGGAAGGTGCGGGGGAACCGGGCCGCCGCTTGGCACCCGCGTTTGTTTTGTATAGATATATATATATATATAATTTTTTTTTTTTTTTTTTTTTTTGCAGAACCGAGAGGCTGAGATCAAAGGGCGGCCGGGTCGAAGGCGGAGGCTTCGGAAGCGACAGCGTCTCGGATTCACTTTCACTCCCTTTCCCTTTCTCCCTCCTCCTCCTCCTCCGCGCCCCCCCCCCCCGCTCCTCCCCATGCCTTAGCAAAAGAGCGGCTGCTGCAAAGGCTTGGCTGGTTTGGGGGCGGGGGCGTTTTGGGAGGAGGGGGGAATCGCGCCAACAGGGGTGGGTCCGCTGGGGAATTTGGGGCGCGGGGGGCAGGCGGAGGGCATCGGGGGGAGGGGAGATTCCGGGGCGAGGGGGGGGAAGAGATCGCCTCCGGTTTGGAAGAGGATGCGCTGGAGAAATCCCTGGGGGAGAGGCGCGCCGCCATGGGGGGGGCTCCCTCCTTCTGTCCCAGGCGAGGCGCCTCCTTCCTTCTTTCCTACCTTCCTCCCCCCCCACACACACTCCCCCGCCACCCCGGGCACGCTCCACCCTGCTCGACTCCCAGCAGGCAGCCCCAGCGCGAGCGAGGCGTGTGGGGTTTGCTGCAAACGCAGCCCAGCGCGCCAGGCGTCGCGGGTTGTGGCAGAAAGAAGACCGGAGGAAAGCAAGCCAGCGGGGGAGGTGGGGGGGAGGAGGTGTGGAAGCAACACACGCGCGCACACACACACACACACACACACACACACACACACACACACACACACACACACGCCCCCGGGCGCTGCACCAAGGTGGCACGCAAACGCGCGCAGGCACACACGCCCCAAAAGAAGAGCGCGCGGGGAAGGCAGGAGGGAGACGGGAAAGTGCGCGCCTTGCAAAGTGTCACAACTACTTCGGGGTGCCCTGGGTCCAGATGCGGGGAGACGCGGCCTTCCTTGGCTTTCCCCCACCCATCCCCACCCCCACTTCTCTCCTCCTCCTCCTCCCACCCCCGGTCCCGCGTTCCTCCGCAGCCCCGGCGGCGAAAGACAGCACCCGCCTCTTCGCGGGAGAGTGGGGGGGGGTCTGGGCAGGTCCCCCCCCACCCGCCGCTGCCACCTTCAGGAGCCCACCTGCTGCTTATCTGGGCGGAAGAGAAACGCCATGGTTACTAGGCGGCGGCGGCACTTGGCGGCCAGATTCGGGTGGGGGGGGAGTGGAGGAGGACTCTCTTCCCCCCCCCGAATGGGTGGGTGGAAGGAAGGTCCGCTTTCCCACGCGCGCTCTCCAGCCACACGTGGGTTGCGCCGGGCTGCGGAGGACAACCGCGCAAGACGGGGGGGGGGGTAGGTGGGATATTTTGCGGAGCAAAGCAGCCAGCTTTAAGCAAGCCGGGATTGAGCCCCCACCCACCGCGCTGGAAATATGCAGGGGTTCCCCCCCCCCCCCGTTGCTTTCATTCTTTTTAAATGCCCCCTTAGCCTTCCCTTAGGTTGAGACAGGTGGACGCGCAAGGCGCGGAACGAGAGAAATGGGTGGCAGGAGGAGAAATGCGGGGGGGGGGTCCGCAGTCTCTTTCTCGAGCCCCCTCCTACAGCCCCTTCTTGGGGTCAACAGTCACCAACTGTTTGGTTTTATTCGCTCCTAAATATGGGTAAAGAAACGCGCGCGGCGATGAAAAGGTTTCGCCCGGCTTTGATCTGGAGGCGAAACGCCCCCGTCCCAACCTTGGCAAGGCGCAATGGTTCGCTTCTGGGTTTGACTTTAAAAACAAGTGCCTCAAGTGGCTTCTCTTTTCTTTCACCCTTCCTTCTCCCCCCTCCCCTTTTCCCTCCCTTCTCCATGGGTTGGGAAGGGGGGGGGGTCTTGAAGCTGTCAAATTAAAGCTGCTGCCTTACCCCTAGTTTGCAAATGGATCTCAATTACCCCCCTAAAAACAGGGAGTCCCAATCTTGACCCCTTTAAGACACCTTGACTTCATCTCCCAGAATTCCCCAGCTAGCCATACAGGTTGAGGAATTCTGGGAGTTGAAGTCCATTTGTCTTACAGTTGCTGAACTTGGACAACTTCCCCCTGGCCTAAGAGATCCTGGTCACCCACAGCCAATTTCTTTCTGCCTCCGTTGGGAATTTCCTTTGTCAGGAGGTTGCAAAGGGGGGGGGGGAATCATGTGATCTCAGGACACTGAGATAAATAGGAGTCAGTGGTCAAGCATTTGAATGTTGATCCAGGGATCATGAACGGATGCTGCCACGGTTGTAAGTATGAAAAAAAATGGTCTGACGGTTGTAAGTTGAGGACTATTTGTCCAACCCAGGGGTCTTCCAACTTGGCCCTTTTATGACTTGTGGACTTCAACGCCCAGAATTCCTCAATCAGGGGTCTTCCATCTTGGCCCTTTTATGACTTGCGGACTTGGCCCTTTTATGACTTGTGGACTTCAACGCCCAGAATTCCTCAATCAGGGGTCTTCCATCTTGGCCCTTTTATGACTTGTGGACTTCAACGCCCAGAATTCCTCAATCAGGGGTCTTCCATCTTGGCCCTTTTATGACTTGTGGACTTCAACGCCCAGAATTCCTCAGTCTAGGGGTCTTCCATCTTGGCCCTTTTATGACTTGTGGCCTTTTTATGACTTGTGGACTTGTGGCCAGGGCTGAGGAATTCTGGGAGTTGAAGTCCACAAGTCATAAAAGGGCCAGGTTGGAAGACCCCTGGTCCAATCCATGCGATGGATCCATCTGCAGCAGAGGAAAGGAAAAATGTTGCTCTCCTACTTCAGGCCTCTTGGCCCTGGGAAGAGTTTTGATCTGATGTCAACTGGAGCTACCTGGATTTTGGTGTGTCTTGGTGGTGATGGAGTCTGGGCCAACGCAAGTTCAAAGTCAATTGCCTTATTCTTCAGTTACATATTAATCCTACCTCCTATTGATTCAGGGCCCGTGTTGCCGTCTCACAAGCCAAAAACTGACCCAGGGGGTATCGCTGGCCGTGTTAAAAATTAATTTTGGGATACTTTCTCCAATATTCACGGCGTCTCGGTTTCAGGATCCAGTTGGGTTTTTTTTTTTTTCCTTGCACAGGTTGATTTGATTTCCTCGTTACTCATGAAAAATGGATTTTTACCTCTTGGCATTTTCACAGGCCAAACCCCCAGCCCCACCCCGCCGAGGACGGGTTTTGTCTTTCAAGGCTGGATCCAATTGATCGAATAAGTTTTAATTTAACCTGACTTCAGTTTGCACCTGTGGATGATGGAATCCTGATTGACTTAAGAACCGTGGCGAGAAAGGTTGTAAAACAGGGCAAAACAAAACTCACTTCTGTGCTTAGCCACAGAAATGTTGTGACGTTAAGTCCAGATTGATTTTTGGACAACTGGCCCAAAGTCATCCAGCTGCCTTTGGTGCTTAATGTGGGACTAGAACTCACCGTCTCCTGGTGATTGGTCCAAAGTCACCCATCCAGTTTTCACGATTAAGACAGGATTAAAACTCACCATTTCCTGCTTTCTAGTCTTTAACCACTAGACCAAACTGGTTCCTTTGCATATTTTGCTGTCCCTCCTCTGTTCTTCATCTATAAAATGGGTATAATTCTGTGGAGCTGCTTTTAAGGGCAATAAGGGAGACCAGCTTTGGAGAGCAAGTGAGGCCAGACAGCTATAACTGCACACCTCTTAATTTAGAATTGTACCATTACAGCGATGTACCCATTCCGTCCTTCGGTCATGCAAGGCTCTCAGTGATGGTAGGTTGCTAGTTGTGTGTGTGTGTGTGTGTTTGAAACACAGCTTTTTTGCAAATAAAAGCAGCTGGGCCTTCCATTGTTAGTTCCACAATCCCTTAAGTGGATTAAATGCAACAACGCAAGCGAAGACCCTCGTTTTGGAGGGAGATAATTGGGCTGTAAAATGTACAATTTTCTTAAAGTTGTTATTAAAGGGGATATTGTAATATTAAGTAGATGATTTAATATGGTGAGAAATAGATAACTCTTAGGAAATAGAACCAGATTGCATTCAAACAGATAAAATGCATATTTTGGATATTATATTATATTTTGTTATGAATTGAGACAAGAGAAATCTTGGTTACTTAAAGCCTGACAATTATAAACATCAAAGGGTAAATTGGAATATTGATGAGAAACTAAAAATTGGGTAAAAATTAATAACAGGATACATTCCATGAAGATTGAATGTAATTAAGATATGTATAAGCTAAAAATGTATTGATCAATGTAATAACGATGTTTTTACTGAGTTGATATAATAAAAACTGTACTAGCTTGAGTATGAGACAGTAAATGTTAAGGCAAAAAGAGAAGAAATATCTGATGTCGCAACCTGAGATTTGTACTAAAGATTTTGTTATCGAACTATTGATTAACCCAGCCACCACATTGCTTTTTTAAATACTGAAATGTAAAATTGGAAAATTAATAAAATATTATTTTAAAAAAATCTTTCTACCTGCCTTTGGAAGAAGCCCCAGCCTTTTCCAGAAAGTGGATATCTGATTCTTTCAGCTTTCACACTTGGGGGCATGTAATTGCTTGTTCCAACTTTTTTTAAAAAAACTTTTTGAAAAAGCATTTCTTTCAGTGGAGCCCCCAGCCTTTTTCTCTTTCTCTTTTTTTTCCCCCTCCAGAAATCTCCTCTGAAGCCGTAAGGCCTGCAACTGGGGATTAGAATTTAGCTCTTGGAAAGCACCGCTGAGGCCTGAACATTAGCCGGAGGTTTATGTTATGGGTGCAGAAAATCTTTTTAAGACAGTGGGATCCTTTTTTTTTTTATCAAAAAACAAGAAAGTCCTGCTGCCTTGTGGGGAGAAAAAAAAAAAACATCTTTGGGACAACTGTGATCCGGATGGCTGAGAATCTCAACGGGATGTTTGAAGCTTCCGGCTTTAGAGTCTTATGCAGCCTTCTAATCAGTCCATTAGCCTTTACAACCAAGAAGCAACAGGAATGTTGGAAGATGAGCAATCTGCAAAGGGTCCTTGATTTACAATCACTCACTTAGTGACTGTTCAGAATTACAACAGAACTGAGGGAAAAATAGCTTGCCACTGATCCTCGCGATTATAACTGCCGCAGCAGCCCCACAATCTTTGACTTACAGCCATTCTTTTAGCAACCGTTCAAAGTTAGGACAGCACTGGGGGGGGGGGAAAGGGACTCACACTTACGACCATACAAGCCTCCACACAGTCAGGTGATCAAAATCCAGGCACTTGACGTGCATTTATGACAGCCGCAGCATCCCAGGGTCCTGGGACCCTGAGCTGGCATCTGACTCTCATTTTTACAACTTTTAGTCCAATTATATTTAAAAGAGGGAAAACTACAGGGGGGGCAGGATGTAGGCAATTAAAAAGGAAAGGGAGAGAACGGTGTCGAATTATTTCAGTGATTTGGGCATGGCTATCTAGAGAAAAGAAGGACCAAGGATGACATGCTAGCCGTCTTCCAATATTTGAGAGGATGCCACAAAGAAGAGAGAGGGACCACCTATTCTCCAAAGCACCTGAAGGCAGGACAAGAAGCAACGGATGGAAACTAAGCAAGGAGAGAAGCAACCTAGAACTAAGGAGGAATTTCCTGACAGTGGGAACAATTAATCAATGGAACAACTTGTCCTCCAGATGTTGTGGGTGCTTCGTCACTGGAGGTTTTGAAGAAGAGACTGGACCAGCCAGAGAAAGAAACAACATGGCCACATTCAGAAACACCACGGATGCCACCTGGATCTTGCAGAAGGTAAAACCTGAGGGAGGAAAGTGGAAGGCAAAAGAAGCAGTGTGCTTGTTACGCTTGCAAATATTCAGCCGAAAGAAAGCTGCAAGTGTGTGGCTGCTTAAAAGGAGCGAGCTGGGAAAGAGATTTTTTTTTTTTGCCTTTAGATAATAATAGCAAGGGTGTTGTTTTTTTTTTTAAAGAAGAAGATAAAATGCATTCTTTTTGGCAGGGGCCTGGTGGGAGGGAGCTTTGGCTGTATGATTAAAATGTTTGATCGCTCATCCCTCCAGACAGAAGGGTTAGAAATGGACAGCAGCCAAGCAGACAAAACAGTTACCACTTCTTTATCTCTCCACCAGGCCAGCGTCCAGAGCGAGGCAATGACATCATGCGGCTCTCCAAATAATAATAATTATTACTATTAATATACCTCATCAAACATCCCCTCCTGCCTATCCCAGGTCGTCGGGAAGGACTTGAGAGGTGGACAAAAATGCCCAAACCAGTCTGAACATCTGGCTGACTGGGGGATGAACCATAATGAGTGCACTCGGGTCTGATCCCAAAACATCTGGAGCGCCCCCTCGACACCATCTGCATTGACAAGATCGCCACTGGTCAATTGCAAAAGGCAGCTTTGCTTGGAACAGCTGACACCTCTGCGACAATACCTTGAAAGCCATCAAACAAGAACTTCTTCCTATCCTAGGTAGGTCTTTGTGAGGTAGACAAGAATGCCAAATCCAGTCTAAGCATCTGGCTGACTAGGCAACCAAGCGTTTTATTGTCGGGAGCACCACTTGAACACCATTAGCATTGACACAATCACTGTCCGTCAATTGCGAAAGGCAGCTCTATCTTTAACACCATCCAACAAGAACATCTGCCTATTGCAGGTCCTTGGGAAGGACTCTATAGGGTAGATAAAAACAGCCAATCCAGTCTAAACATCTGGCTGACTAGGCAATCAATTATCATCATATTTGCTTTTCATCTGGAACATCACTTGAACACCATTAGCATTGACACAATCACCGTCCGTCAATTGCAAAAGGCAGCTCTATCTTTAACACCATCCAACAAGAACATCTGCCTATCCCAGGGGGGAGGGCTTGAAAGATGGACAAAAAATGCCAAACCCAGTCTAAACATCTGGCTGACCGGTGGACCCACCATCATGCTAACCATGTCCAAACTGATGAAAATTGCTCTCCGGGGTCCCTCCATCACGATTATAGTTGTCATGGCAATAACAAAAACAGCCCTCACCCTTCCCAAAGGCCTTGAAGATCTTCTTAATCAGCATCTCATGTTTTCGTCTCCCACATGAGTTCTGTTGGCAAGGGCTTATCTAGAAATGTAGTTGGCTGGAAACAACACAAGGGTTGGGGGGGGGAATCAACTGAGGAGAGGCAGACGAGTCAAAGAGCAGAATTCAACCTGGTGGGTCATTTTAGCTGCCTCCCCCCCCTTTCTAGCGATAACAAAGTTGCTGGTCAGCAGCGCAATCCAGGTAAGACTTGGGGGGGGGGAACAGACATCCAAGCCACATTCTGCAAGATGAGTAGGGGGCTTCCATTTACAAACAGCCCAGTTTGAGACTGATGGGTATTGCTGTCTCCCTGTACTTTCATTTGGTGAGCCTGGAGCAGCTTTCTAGCTGGGAATTTGGGGGGGGGGGCATTTCTGGAGGGTGTGCCAGATTGGAAAATGGCTGGTAGGGTCCACGTGGGCTGCTGTGGTAAGGACCAGCCCTCTGCCCTGGATCGGAGCCAGGAGGAGAAGCAGGAAGATCCCGGTTGAAGCTCACAGTCCAGCACAGAAACCAGATGCGCAAAATGTGTGTCATCACATCCGTGAGAGAGCTGGTGGTGATGTTTGTGCACACGCTAAGCTTGGTTTGCTTCAAACTGGCTAGGTTGGTGAAGGGGACGAGCTGCAAGCCTGATCTATTCGCTAAGGTTTTTTTTTTTTTTAACTAACCGACAGAAATTATCTAATTCCATCAGGAACTGCTGGTTCTCTGGTCTTTGCAGAATTCCTGGGAATCAGGGAAGCACAAATATGTATGTCCTCAAGATTTTGTGGACCTGCTCTTCACTGATTGCTCTAAAAGAGACTATTTGTAGCTCAGGGCAGAACTGTGGGGTCCTTGGTGCCCTCTGAGCTTGGTGGTTTTCTTGCAGACGTTTCATGACCCAACTAGGGAACATCATCAGTGCTAGATGGGAGTGGGGTCTGTGGGGAGGAGGAGGACCCCTTGAGCTTGGTGGTTTCCTTGCAGACGTTTCATGACCCAACTAGGGAACATCATCAGTGCTAATTGAGTAATGAATCCTCTGCAAGAAAAGAAGCTCAGAGCGTACCAAGGAATCTACAGACTAGACTGTTGTGGCACTGATTCCCAGTATTGTCCTAGGCATAAAGAAGGAGAGGAGGAGGAGCCATATGATGGAACTCATCCCACTTTTTGGTGTTTCTAGTCCTCATGACTGTGGAGATAAGGCCAGACTTTCCCCTGAAAGCTCAGACATACGACTGGCAACTTTTCAAGAAAAACTCCAGTTCTCCAGAGTGCAGAACGCAATGGTTCTCCCTCTCTCTCTCTCTCTCTCTCTCTCTCTCTCTCTCTCTCTCTCTCTCTCTCTCTCTCTCTCTCTCTCTCTCTCTCTCTCTCTCTCCACACCACCTTGACCGATTGACTAAATGATGCCAAGCGGGCTTGGGTTGAAAACTTGCCCCACAATTTTGAGTGCCAATTTTGAGTTTCCATGGTGCAAAAAAGATTGGGGGTGGCAGGCACACAAGCAGACACCGTTCCGCCGAGGTGTCATCCAGATAGCATCTCCCTCCGCAGTGTATCCAAGGAACATTTTTATCTTACACTTGTGTCGTGTGCAGGAAGCCTGCAAATTGAATTTGAAAAGCTATTTGTCGTAGAGGCGCTGGGTGACTAGAGATGCTTATTCTCCAAGAAAAGAGAAGAATTGAAAGGACAAACCCAGAAGCCTCGGAGACACATTAAGTTATGTGTAGGGTTTTTTTGCCACGGTTCTGCTTCTGACAAGACCAGGCAAGAGAAGATGCCCGAAATTTACACCTGCTTCAGCAGCAGAAGCAGAATAAAAGAATACCAGAAGAGTTGGAAAGGACATTGGAGTAATAATAATAATAATAATAATAATAATAATAATAATAATAATAATAATAATAATAACAACAACAACAACAACAACAACAACAACAATAATAGTAAATTTGGAAGGGACCTTGGAGATCATCCAGTCCAACTTCCTGCTCAGGCAGGAAACCCTATACCATTTCGGACAAATGGCTGTCCAGTCTCTTCTTAAAAACTTCCAGTGTTGGAGCATTCACCGTTTTTGGAGGCAGGTTGTTCCACTGGTTAATTGTTCTAACTGTCAGGAAGTTTCTCCTTAGTTCTAAGTTGCTTCTCTCCTTGACTAGTTTCCCTCCGTTGCTTCTTGTCCTGCCTTCAGGTGCTTTGGAGAATAGCTTGACTCCCTCTTCTTTGTGGCAGCCCCTGAGATATTGGAACATGTCCCCCCTCGTCCTTCTCTTCATTAAATTAGACATACCCAATTCCAGCAGCTGTTCCTTATATGTTTTAACCTCCAGTCCCCTAATCCTCTTTGTTGCTCTTCTCTGTACTTTTTCTAGAGTCTCAACATCTTTTTTACATTGCGGTGACCAAAACTGAATGCAGTATTCCACGTGTGGCCTTACTAAGGCATTGTAAAGTGGTATTAACACTTCACGTGAACTTGATTCTAGTCCAACTCCTTGCTGAGGCAGGAAACTCTATACGATTTCAGACAAATGGTTGTCCAATCACCAAGAGTAGGGTGAAAAGAGAAAAACAGGTAGTCCTCAACTTACGACCACACATGGGATGGGAATTTCCGTTGTTAAGTGAGGCAGTTATAAAGTGATCCGATTTTGTCAATCCTTTTTTTTTTTTTTGCCAAATTTATTAAGTGAATTCCTGCAGTTAAATAGACCGGACAGTCATCGACACATTCCGAAGGGATCCAGCGCGGTGCGTTAGCAGCCCAAAAAGCTAATACAATCCTTGGTTGTATAAACAGGGGCGTAGAATCAAAATCACGTGGAGTGTTAGTACCGCTTTATAAATCCTTTGTAAGGCCACAGCTGGAATACTGCATCCAGTTTTGGTGACCGCATTACAAAAAAAAAAAAAGATCTTGAGAGCTTGGAAAAAGTGCCAAGAAGAGCAAGTAAGATGTTTTTTTTTTTTTTAATTAAAATTTTTCAAAAATTTTACAAATAAGAATCCACCCTCCCCTCCCCAACCACCCCACCCCCCCCCCCGACTTCCCAGAACTGAATATAGGATTATTTAAGAAATATTTTAAAAATAACATTTGCAATTTATAAAATAATTAATAATAATAATAATCACAGTAATAATATATATAATAATAATATGCATAACATAAACTTTAAAATGAATAATATATACTAAAAAAGAAAAAAAAATAAAAAAAGAAGAGAGAGAGAGAAAGAAGAAAGAAGAAAGTAGACGAAGAATAAAGCATATATATATATAAAAAAATATATATATAATAATACATAAAAAATGTATATATATAAAAAAGAAAAAGAAGAAAGAAAGAAAGAAAAAACAATCATTACAAATTATAAAAAGGCTAAATAATATTTTTCCATATCCAAATTATGTTGTATAAAATTTATCCATTTTTCCCATACCGCAAAAAATTTTTCTTGAGATTGCTCCTTTAAAAAGCCGAAATCTTTGCCATTTCTGCCAAATACGAAACTTTATGAAACCATTCTTGTAAAGTAGGCAAAGATTCCTTCTTCCAATATTGTCCTATTAACAACCTAGCGGCTGTACAAATTTAACATCAATATAACCTCCTTAGCATCACAGTCAATAACAATACCTAGTAAAAATAATTGCGGAGTAAATTTTACCCTCCTTTTAAAAATTCTTTGAATATTCCACCATATCTTAATCCAAAAAGCTTTTATATGCTTACACGTCCACCAAATATGGTAATAGGTAGCATCCAAATATCCACATCTCCAGCATTTCGGCTGTAGATTAGGGTACATAATGGACATTTTCTTTGGGTCAAGGTGCCATCTATAAAACATCTTATAAAAATTCTCTCTTAAATTTTGCGCTTGTGTGAATTTAACATTTCTTATCCAAATAAGTTCCCAAGTATCCATTGAAATCGTTTCACCAATATTCTGTGCCCATTTAATCATACAATCTTTAACTAGTTCAGTTCTGAATCTAATTCCACTAAAACCCCATAAACTCTCTTAATATGGGTTGGCCTTTGATCTCTTACTTGTTTTAAAAAAATTTCATCTTCTCTAAGCCAGCCCATTTTACAATCCATCTTCCATCTATCCACTATTTGTCTATATTGGAACCATGAATAAGTTAAGTTTTCATGTGTTAATTCTTCAAAGATTTTAACTGCCAGTCTTGGCCATCCCATCTTAATAACTGTACGTAAGAGACCTTGTCCATATTTACCCCTTTCCTTATACCTTCTATGGCATGCCGAGGTATAGCCCATAATGGTATTTTGAAGTCACTTTTATAATACTTTCTCCACACTCTTAGCAAAGAGTTTCTTATAATATGAGACTTAAAAACCCAATCCACTTTTTTATTAAATATTAAATAGGCATGCCATCCAAAAAATAGGTCCCAGCCTTCCAAATGAAGTATTTCTGTATTTGTTAAATTCACCCAGTCGCTAATCAATGTCAATACTACAGCATCATAATACAATTTCATATTTGGTACCTTGAGTCCACCTCTCTCACGAAAATCTTGCATATTTTAAGTTTCACCCTTGGTTTTTTCCCTGCCCAAACAAATTTATTAATACCTTTTTGCCATTCATCTAAATTACGTTCGTTCTTTAAAATAGGTAACATTTGAAACAAAAAAATAAACTTTGGCAGGACATTCATTTTAATAACTGCAATTCTGCCCATAAGGGATAACTGTAAATTATTCCAGTTTTTTAAATCCTTCTGTACCTCCATCCACAGCTTTTCATAATTATTTTTATACAATTTTACATTAGAAGCAGATAATGTAACCCCCAAATATTTTACCTTATCAACAATTTCAAAGTCTGTTAAGTTAACTAGAGCCTGTTTATCACCATTAGTCATGTTTTTAGCTAATATTTTGGTCTTATTATTATTAATTTTAAAGCCAGAAACACGTCCATATTGTTGAATCAATTGTAATAATTTCACCACCGAAGAAACAGGTTGAGACAAAGTAACAACCAAGTCATCTGCAAAGGCTCTTAATTTATATTCTTTTTTATTAATTTCTATTCCTTTTATTTCTTGAGACTCCCGAATTTTAATCAACAAAATTTCCAGTGTTAAAACAAACAATAACGGAGACAACGGGCATCCCTGTCTTGTTCCTTTTTCTATTACAAAAGCCTCTGACAAGCCCCCATT